CCAACGCCAAGCGCAGCGGACGGTCCCCGCTCCGGACGGGGACGTGTTCGGTGACCCCGGGTGCGGTTTCCCCTCCTGGTGCCAGGGCACGCTGCAAAATGCTTCCTTTTTTTTTTTTTTTTTTTTTTTCTCCCCCGGATCTACATAAATTTACGGCATTCATACTGCCCCAGAATAGACTTCCAGAGCTTCATCGTGTGGTGTGTGTTGTGGGCCTGATGCCCGTTTTCTCGTGGGGCCTGAAGCACTGTACTGAGCAACTGTGCTGTTCCCTTTCGTGCTCTCCGGGATACTCGTGGTTTATAGACCTCAGTCAGATCCTCCTCAGTCATTTCTTCTTGACTGAAGGATCTCAGTATATTCAACTTTTCCTTGCGAGGACGGGATTTCATACGTTGATAAGCCTTGCCGCTGTTCTCTCTATCTCCTCCATCTCTGTTACATACTTTGCGAGAGGGCCTAGAAGGACTTCACACAGTTGCAAAATGTTCTTCTCTGTTTTGTCGTTTATTCTTCATATTTGATTAGGTTTTAGTTTTGGTTTTGGCCATTGCTGAGCTTGTGAGAACTGACATCATAACAGCCAGTTCTGTGGAACTCCCAAGACCTTCCTCCAAAATAGTCTATACAGAGGTGATAATTCTTTATGTAAAGCCAGGATTGTTTTGTCCCCACAAGAGCTGATGTAGCTGAAGATACTCATGGATGATCACTGCCTCCGCAGAGAACAGACTGACTCCTGGGACAAATGATCTGCTTTTGTCTGCCTGCATCTCCCAGTACCGACCACTCAATATTATGTATTTTCCCTCCATTTACCAGGAACTCTGTGAACCTCGCAGCTATTGTCCAATGTACCATCAGGACTTCAAAGCAGAGCTGCTGAAATTCCGCACCAAGAGCAAGTCATGGACTATGGAGCGAAGGAAGCAGGACTAGATCACTCACCTCATTAAACTGTGAGCACCAAAGCGGTATCTGGAGTAGAAGCTGCTTAAGAGAGTTGTGTCTTCCAGAGCAAAATTCAGCTCCCTGAAGACAGCTGGACTTGTGATGGCGAGAGAAAGGGAAGCTGCCTTGTTCTGCTGAGACTGCTAGGATAAATTAGGATCCTGGTCTGTTTACACAATCTTGACACTGCCTCTGCGAGACACTGACTGAGCATAAAGCCACAAATAAAAGAGTACTATAGCTGCAGAGGAAAAGAATAGGCTTTGTTCCCTAAAGACTATGGTAGCTTTTAGGCTGTCTTGCCTAAAGACTGCAGGGCAGCATATGGCACTGGTTGAGCTCTCACCCCTCCTGCATCAGACAGGATTCTCCATGGTTTTCTTTAATACTAAACATTGCTGTGGATTTTGTTGTTAGTTGTCACTTCTG